TTTTTCTAGTTCCTTAAATTGAAATTGCCGCTCCGTGGAGCCTGTTTTCAGTCGATCGAAGATCCCAAAAGTGCTTATGAAAAGTGTTTCGAGGACTGGAAAAGTCATAAAATCATAACATAAACAAGAGATGTTTGACAACAAATCTGAGGACTCTACATTTATCAAACGCATAACTAGTGGTGACGAGACATACATACATACGTTTATGAATATGACGTCGAAACTCTCAAATGGCGTTGAGTTATATTTGATCAGCCTGTATTATAGCTACTAGAATACACGGTGGTTCGAAAGTCCTTTTGGAGTAAAGGAAACGACATATCAATGGACTTTCGTCAATAATTTCAAATTGAATTATGCCGAGCTTATGGTATTCATATAATTTCGTTAAGATAGATACATATCTCAAATTATATTAAGAGATACTAAAACAATTATAAGAGATGTCAAAGTTAATCCTGAYGTCTTCCCGTTATTTGTCCCTACCATAAGCGAAAAAGGATTCGCAGTAATTATACCCGATAGTCCAGGATCTTGGAAATCGGATCCTTTCAAAATTGRTTGCCACCCATTCTAGCAACTAAATTGGACACATTGTTTCGAAAATGTCACTGTTTTATATAAAAAAAAAAGATAAATATTATGATTTGCAGTCTTCTTTTTATTCGTAAACAACTAATAACAGTCTATAACGATACATCTATATAAATTTGCTTGAATTTCGTTGGAAACACTTAAAACAAAAATCTCGTTCACTTTTTATCCTTCTCATCAGCACTCTTATTCTCCACTGGTGGATTCTCCTTCACATTCAAGTGTGCTGGACCGGTCTGTTGAATAGGAATCACACGTTCTGCCGCGTTATCCTCCAAACCAGCAGGTTTTGGTACATTAACCGTTAGTATGCCATCCGATGAAAGTGTTGAAATGGCCTGATCGGCTTTGAAACCACTGGGCAGACTAAAACTGCGAACGAAATGTTTCGAAATGAAACCGTGTTCGTCTTCACGCCCCTCATATTTTCCCTCTACGACCACATTGTTGTCCACCACTTTAACTGTTAATTCGTTGGGTTTAAATTGCGCAACATCCAACGACACTTGATAGCCTTCTTTGCCCAACTTTGGTTCAACCTGGTTTTGTAAGTCCTGTTGTAGACGACTTAAACGACTCCATGGTGAATAGGTGAACGGCGTGTTGAAGAAGTCATCGTAAAATGCCGAAAATGGTGATCGGCGTGGAAAAGCCAAACGCTGCATTTCCTCAGCCATACGCCATAATTGTGGAAGTGGACGCATTTTTACTACAAATTTAAGATATTCACTTCGATTGTTATATTATAGAAAAATATTTTCTTTGCTTTTTCGAAATCACTTTTGACTTCAAATTTGATTTTTCAACTTTTCACTGGAGTTGCACCAAAGAACCTTTGGCTTTTATACTTTTCTGACAGTGTGGCGCTGTTATCAGTTCTCGTACATTACTCTCGCGTCTGCGCTTTAAATCGCGCTCTTTGGTCTACTCTTTCATGTTCATTCTCGCTTTTACTAGAATTTGTGTAAACAATAACACCACATGAATAAAGTGAGTGACCATTGCAAAAGAAAATTCGCGAAAAGTGTAGAGCTGGCCGCAAAAAGAATTGTTCTTTAAAAGTAAGAGAGAATATTAAAACATTTTTAGTGTTGCTAGGAGAGTAACATCTGTGTGAGCGAGTAGATGATGCTAGGGAATGAATTGTTGTGAAAATATTGTTAATTATTTTACATTTTATTGGTGTACTATAGAAAGCACATTTGTGATGAAATTTAATGCACACTTGGGAGAACTAATTTTATCAAAAAAATAGAACTTGATTTTGATTATTTTCGGTCAGTTTGCATGGCAGCTATATGTATGTATGTAGTATATCGTTACCTGAAATGCAAAATAACGTAACAACATTTTCGGAAATTTACAGTGGCTTGAATGAAACACGACGAGTGAAAAAAAATTTTTAATATTGCTTAAAACTGATTTACATATATCTGAGCGCTGAACCTGCAAATGTTGGACATATGTATGTATGTATGTAATTTATCGTAATCAATAAGACGCTCAATTTAGAATTTTTGGACTATACGTTATTTTGCATTTCAGGTGACGATATGTATGTATGTGTTTAGTTCTCTGATATTTAAACATTTTCTGGGATATTGTAATTTACTCGTTAAGGCATCTTGTAAAATAAAAAAGCTTTTCATACAAGAATATATATTTACATATGTATGTTATAGCAGTCCGATATCAGCGACTCCGACAAATGACTAGGGTCTTGGGAGCAAAAGACCGTACAAAAAACCACAGATCGATRTCTTAAAAACTGAGGGGCTAGTTCGCTAGTACGTACATATATACTCAGTATGTATACAGCATACAAACAGACAGACAGACGGACAGTCGGGTCTACGAAAACCGGAACGGACCCGGATTTTCATCCGGCCAAGGACTGTCAACTCGGCAGAATTCTGCCGTTACAACAACAACAACAACAGACAGACGGACATAACTTAATCGAATCACCGCTGTTCAAGCTGTTATCTCATATAAAAGTGGAAATAATATGTCTATATAGASTATCCGCCTTTTCCGTCACAGTCTTCACAAGAAACCAGTTCAATTAAATAGTATATAAATTTAGGAAATAATTGGGGTAATATAAGGTGCGTTCCAAAGTAARCAGGCCTTCAAAAAACAGAACGAATAGTCGACATATAGATAGCCCCACCAGGGGGCGTTTGATTCAAAAAGTCCTGTTTACTTTGGAATACACCTTGTTGATAGAATTGAACACACAAATTTTAGACACAAGTTATATTTCTAACGGAACTGCTGATCGTATTCGGGGTGCCACATTTTCGACTAATGTGTAGAAGGATGTCTCATTTGCTACTCAATCCAAAATATTGAAGGGGTAATGCGATTTCTTCTTTTTTTTCATACAAATTAATTCTTATCTAATTTTTTGAAGACGTCTTGCTTGATAAGGACCATAACCACAGATAATCCTTGGAGGCTAGGAAAAAATATGTACTAAATTTGGTTAAAATTGTCATTTGTAGATATACAAAGAAAACATATAATGCATGCATTCCGCTAAAAAAGTCCTTAAAATTTTTGCACACCGTTTATTGCAAATTTAAGGTTTTTTCTATACCTTACGAACACTCCGCTATACATCAAAAGAGAGCTCCAGTTAAATCTCAATGTTTACTCMCAATACTGACTCAATAAATGTTGTATTCTCTGTAAATTTCGCTATTCTGAACTCTCTTCTGTAGCTTTCTTCCCATTGTGGTGAGTACTTGCGAAAATGTTTCCATGGTTCAATATGTATTTGTTGAATAAGAATTTTCTCTAATAARCTATTCAATAAAATGTTACCCATTTTTTGCATCATAAAATTACACCTGCCTATTTAAATACGAAACACATTTAYTCAAGAAGCTTTAAAAAATTATATCGACATACAATGAGCATACTGAAGAAACTAATTCTCCAAAAGTCTTGTAGAAAATTCTAAATAAGAGATTGAACTCTCACAYGCTACACCGCATGTCCTCTTTATTAAGCGCACGCTGTGAATGATTCACTCTTACTTTTCTAGAATTTATTGGCTACGCAGAATTTACCGGAACTTTCTATACTGCTTCTACGGTCGATGGCCCTTTCTATCAAGATAGCATGTATACGCTACTTTTCAACCATGACCACAGTTAACATAGCTGAATTTTTGATGGCGCCGCGAAAAGTATAAATACCGGAAAATTGCCCGTGTACGAACAACAGTTGTATACAAACATTCAACAGAAGCGTAACAAACAGTATTTGCTGCAAACATACTCAACTTGCCTGTTTCGGTGAAAATTTTTAGAATCGATTTAATTTTGGGAAAATTTTCAAATCTAGAATCAAGAAAATGGCTACAATTCCAGCAATATTGGGTTTAATTAACGACATGGACCGTCTCACCACGGCGATTTCTCCATACTATCATCAAACCTACCATTGGCCCATGAGCCGGCAATTAGCCTTGGGTAAACCAGAGAGAGCAATTTCACCGCTGGTGGGCAAAGATGGTTTCCAGGTGTCTATGGATGTCGCCCATTTCAAACCCAGTGAATTGAATGTACGAGTTGTAGACAATAGCATTGTTGTGGAGGGCAAACATGAAGAACGTGAGGATGACCATGGTTACATATCTCGTCATTTTCTTCGCCGCTACTCGCTGCCCAAGGGATATGATCCCAATAAAGTGATGTCATCGCTTTCATCAGATGGTGTACTGACAGTTATGGCGCCAAAGCCGCAATTGGAAGACAAGTCTAATGAACGTCATGTACAAATACAACAAACTGGTCCGGCACACCTGAACGTTAAGGAGAATGGCAAAGAAGAGAAGAAGAATTAAACATCCGCCACTTCGATCAAATCATCAACACATTCCTTRAAACATACACGCATACACCTATCCTCGAGCGGGTCTAGAGTTTAGTTGTTACATTCGGAGTATTAATTAATTAGCTTTTTGCATTCTTAATATAGTTTGTACTGAAGGAAATAAATACCACTCTTTTATTACAAAAAAAAATACACATTTCGTGTTTTCCTTAATTTTCATGGTCAGATGTTTGCACAGGGTCTTGRTTAGTAGATTTCGCTTCCAGCTTTGTGCTAAATATTGTTTTAAGACAGAGTTTGAAAAGCATTCCATAAATAAAAAACGGGATAATTTGGTGTATTATCAGCAATGTTTTCTCAATATATTCATATGAACATCGAAACATGTGATTAATGTTGAAACCAAAATAAACTTGGAGTCATTTTACAAGAATATCAATAACGCTAAGTGAAAGACTAATAGTAACTGTAAAGTGAGATATATAAATTTTAGTAAAATTATTAATTTATCTCACATTATACAGACAATTACATTCAAACAAAAGACAAAAGTATAATACGTTTACATACATATGAATTTTAATTGAAGTAATAGAGTTTGGCGTTAAATCCAAAGTAAATACATTGGGTCCTGAAGAATTGCCGATGGGTGAAGTTACAACTGCTTATTGCAAATTATCCTTTAAAARTGGTGTTTGCGTGTTTGTGCCAACTATTGGATATTTTTTATATTTTTGGTATACATGATTATATACAATATTTTGAATATCCATTCGACATAACAATTTAGCTTCGGGTTCCAATTTACGGATATGCGGYAGAAGAGACTCGAAAAAGGCCTGATCCTCATCTCGCTCTTTTTTTTCGGAGTGTTTCTTTTCGAGCATGAATAATTTACGTTTTTCAATTTCCAACTGGCGCGAAGTATTCTTCGTCTGGCTTAAAAGTTTCTTTTTCGTTGGAGGCGGAATATTGAATTCAAATTTATCGCAGGTATCGTCCGTGTCTTCGACTTGAGACATATTCCAACTACTTATATCATCATTTACTTCGAGTGAATCTTCGTTACCACTTTCATCCGGAATAGTACTTATTTTCTGTAAATTACCGTTCAGTTCTCGGTGCTTCATTTGGTCTTTTAAAAATAATAGTTGCTTAAAGTAAAGCCACTTCGAATTAAAATCTGATTCCATATTAGAACGATCAGCAGATACTGGAACGGAAATTTTACGTAATTCAGCTCGAAATTGATCGCGAATATACTTCCATTTTTTCTTCACCTCTTCCTCTGAAAAATAAGAATAAAGAAATATAATATTAAATGTTGTATGCCTACAATAAATTGAATTAATACTTACTCTTTAAATTCATTTCTCTTGCAACTGATTTCCATAGATGTTCAACCAGTTGTCTATTGTGATAATTTTTATTTTTTCGATCCCATAGAGCAGGGCGAGCAAAAACTTCACTTATCAATAAGCTAATATCCATATTTGTGCTCAATATCACATACATATATTCACGAATTGCATTAAAATCAACTGAATAATACGCGCAATTTCAACGCGAGTCAGCGCTGAAAACCCTTTAGTACTGGTTTATTGCGTTGAACAACTTTACGTTCAGCTTCGGTCAGCTTCCACTTTCTCCCAGCTTATTTCTCGCATTCGTGAGTTTTGCGCTCGGCTTGGCTTTGAATGCGTACTCTGCAATACGTTGCCGTTTTGTCCGATTGCACCAAAATCGGTAACTTCATTTGCCCTTGGTAATTTGGTTGGTAGGCAATATTTGTTATTGGACTTATTTACAATGATAATTAATATTAAGATTTGTTCACTTAAAAAAATCATACTTTATTGCCTTTGCAGTTTCTACTAACTGAAARAAATGTTTACTTGTATGTAAATCTTTCTCCAAATGTGAAGTGAAATAAAAAAGGTTTTGATGAAGAGATGCTTTGTTATGAAGTAAGCAAAAGCGAGGAAAGATGTATGTGAACCGGTCATTATAGTGTAGAAATGTAAGTACATTAAGGAGAATTTTTAATAAATTTATGCACCTGAAATAATTTTCAATATGAATTGAACAATACTGTAATTTATTAAATATACTCTTTGAACTTGATTTATCATWTTCCTATCAGTATCTATGCTATCAGAATAAATAAGTGGAATACTAATTATAAATAATTATTATTTGCTTATGAAAACTCTCGCATATACTATATGCTCCCACATACACAATTTACTCTTAAGTTCTCTACTCACTTAACATCAAACTCAATCTCTTTTTAAAAGAGAAGCAAACTTACATTATTCTCTATTATCTTTGCTTATTGGATTTTAATTTTTCGAGAATTTACGAGTAATTTCAAGCATACACAAATTTCAAGCGTATAAAAGGCAAGCGAACGTTGAATCCACATCAGTTTTTCTCAAGCGAGCAAAGGAATTGATTATAATCAGCGGATTTGCGCAAGAGTTATCTTAAAATTGAAGCTAATATTAAGTTATTTTAACTTGAAAATAAACGAAAATGTCAAGTTTGCCCATTCTATTGAACTTAATTGATGAATTGGATCGCGARAGCTATAATCCGCTGTACTATGGCAACGATTTCGGATTAGGTTTGCATCCACATCATATTCACCGCCATCACCATCATCGACAYGAGCCAGCTGCTAACAATCTTGTTGGCTATTCGCTGCCTTTGGGTTTGGTAAATCGCTTGGGCGAACGAGCTCTCAGTCGCCGGGCGCAGCAGGGCGAAAGCCGTTTATCTCCAGTAGGTAAAGATGGCCTACAAGTGTGCATGGATGTGGCACAGTTCAAGCCCAGTGAGCTGACTGTAAAAGTAGTTGATAATAGCATTATTATTGAGGGCAAACATGAAGAACGTGAGGATGAACATGGTTACATTTCACGACACTTCGTACGGCGATATGCGCTACCGAAGGACTATGATGCCGATAGAGTCATTTCAACGCTTTCATCCGACGGCGTCCTCACAGTTAGCGCTCCAAAGCCACAAGAAGAAAAATCTAATGAGCGTGTTGTACAAATTCAACAAACCGGTCCGGCTCATTTGAATGTCAAACATAATACGGAGGAAAAAATTGGCGATGCCAATGGAGACGCCGAGCAGAAGTAAATGGCTGTAGACAGACAGTGATTGCAAAARGACTTCATACACAATTTATTCATTCCATATGTGCGAACGCTTTTATAAGTAGTAATACGTTGTATTTTCGATAAATACTACTTTTGTGAAGAAACAAACAAATTGGAATAGCGTGCTGTCAAAAATGCAGTACATTCTCATTCATATTTATATTGATTATCCATGTAGTATTATAAGTTTTTTGCTGATTAATATGTTCGTAATAATATTATTTAAATTAATATCGAGTGCATTCATTTACTAAAAAATACTTTTAGAATATAGAAATATAAAAAATTTTTGTTGTTGTCTGTGGTTGTAAAATATAGTGTTGATTAGGAATTCCGCTTGATTATAGAGACTTATTTTTGAYAACTTTTTTTTGTATAGCTTCTTAAATGGAAGAATGCTATATATCGTCCAATGAAAAAGCTTTCCATACAAGAACTTAATTCTGATYGTTCAGTTGGCTACCTGCTATAGTGGTTCTATATCGGCAATATTGYCACGACAGCCGGTTCTACGTTACAGTAATTACTCGCTGTTATTTTAGATCGGTGCAAAACGTGCTCTTTGTTGGAAAAGGATGTGTCCAAAATTGAAGTAGTATATATCGGCAGACGCACTGTCGAACGTGGCTAAATCAGCTTGTTACTCTGATYATTTACATATATTTTATATGGTCTCCAACGTTTCCTTCTGGGTACGAAAAAATGAAATTATGCTCATACTATCGTCGTACTTCCTTGCATTGTTAGCAGGCTTTTTCTCAATGGTACAAAATTAAAAAAGTGTAGATTTATTGTGGAAGGCTCTGGAACACATACATACATATGTATGTACATACATAAATGGCAAGTTTGTGATTAATGTGTCTACACAAATAATAGATACATACATATGTATGTACGTACTATGCGTAATTATATTTATCTAAACACATACATACATACATATGTATGTTGTAAAGACGAACTTCATAAAAACAATTAGAATTTAAGCGACGCTAAGCCAAATTTTATTTATGCGATTGAAAGGAAAACATTCTTAATTAAATTGCTTCCATAAATTAGGTATGTATGTACATACATATTTACCCAGAAGTAGCTGAACACATACATATATACATACAAGCGAAAAAGGATGGAGTAGATTGAAAACACAGCAGTGAGAATAATTGAGCATGAAATAGATTCGAATGAGTAGCTTTTTAAAGTGCAGTCCGCACCTGTCCTCCTTTTTACACCCCAAAGGTGCTGAATTGCTCAATAATATTATTAATACAACGTAGTTGCGAGAATTTTGTAGAAAACTGATGCATTAAATGCTGAAATACTCGCTCTTGCCTGTCGTCTGAGAGTTCGCTCACCAAACAATTCCTGCGCAAGTATAAATGCCCATGCTGTATGCATTTTTCAAGTAATCTTCGTGGAAATTCCAAGTGAGTTGGGTGTATTACCATTGCGTTTCATTTTACTGAAAAATAGTATAAAACTAAACGGGGTACATAGTATAAATAATAATTTGTGAAAAATGCCAATCCGGAATATACCACCATTTGTCTTGAGCTTGGACTCGGCTCCATATTATAATCACGATTTGTATCCAAATCATATTTATCGACGTTTACATGAACGCCAACATCATCCATTGGATTTAGGTACTTTGGGTTTAATTGCACGTTTGGGCCCGCATGCTCATCACCTAGTGGCAGCTAAGCATAGCACCGAAGGTAATGTAGTTAATCGTTATGGAAAGAATGGCTTCGAAGTGCACCTGGATGTTGGTCTATTCAAACCGGAAGATCTAACCGTGAAAATCGTTGATGATTCATTAGTGATTGAGGGCAAACACGAAGAACGTGAAGATGAACATGGTCATATTTCGCGTCAGTTTAAACGTCGCTATGTACTACCCAAGGGTTATGATGAGGAGAGTATTGTATCGACATTATCTTCGGACGGTGCGTTGACTGTGCGTGTACCATCACCACCACCACCGCCAGAAGTAGAGAAGAAGGAGCGCATAATAGCTATACAGCAGGTTGGCCCTTCCGAAATGTTTCTAAAGACCAAAAGTCAAGAGGAAGCCGAAGCAGCCGCAACAAAATAAGCACTGACTGTGTGTAACACCATAAATGTTCAATTGCATTTATATTCTTCTCGATGTTGTAAAGGAAAAAATTGGAAATTTGCCAATAATGAATTGAAAACGTAGTAACTTTGCATTTACATAATAATACTAAATAATTAGATGTACTAAAACTTTTTAAATATCGGTCATTATAATAATGTAAGCGTTTTATTGAAATGACTGGTAATTTTAAATAATCAATCTAATTTACTTATGAATTATGTTAAAGGACATTGTGAATATATCTAAAAAGCACTTTAGAGTGATATCTATGTATGTATATTGCGCAATATCTTCATTATTATATTTATATATGTAGCTATTTACTATTTAAGTGAATCCTTATCCTATTGGAGAATCTCATTGTATTGTATTACAATTGAATTAGCTTTTCTACATTTTATCGTAAACTTTTTAAATAATTAATGCAAATATACATATGAATAAATTATAATAAAATTGAGCGGAAATTCATTATAAATAAATTAATGAAATCGAATAATTGATAATCCATCATTGATAATTTAGTGTGCGTATCTTAATTAAATTTAAATAATTAAAATATATACAAAATTTGGGGCGGAATCGAAAACTGCGTATCCGGTACACTTTATAAGAAAGTAATTCCGAATATTTCAGTAAATGTTTTTTTTTACTTTTCAAATACTTCCCTGAAACGCTATTCCACTAAAAATGCACTGTCCTTGAAATAGGCGCTCCATTGACTGCCGCCGATAATTTGCTATTCGAAATTTAGCTGCTACTGTTGCAATTCTTACTTAATATGAAAACACTTATTTTAATAGAACCAGATACACGTATTTCATTTCATTTTTTATTGAATTTGTATAAACAAAGCTGAATATAGTACTTTATTTCACAATCACTGTACATTTAAAAAATGTTGATATTCATTCATCACTCAAACTTTTTACTGACAATTAATGACGTACCGTAAAGATCAGTTCCACTGTTGAAACCAACACTACAATCATTTGTTCTTAATTTCTTTATCAAGAGGCATATGATTTTTATTTTCGAATGAGTTAGCAGTTATCGGGAGCAAACATTTTTTTATTTAATTTTTTTTAAGTATAATTTTAAATATGCTATAAAATTCAATAAAACTGATATATATTTCCATCCCCTGTATAATCATTGTGAACATTTCTTGAATAAGAGGAAGAGCCTATGTTGAATTTATTATTTTTTTTTGTATGAAGGGTTGCGTTTACACCATGGAGTTTTATTATCATATTTCAATTAAAAGTTTATGGAGGAAATATTGGTAAATAATAAAATAGCGTTTTATTTAATAAAGAAGAACCCCTAATGACAAAAATAGGAGCGGAAACAATATCTATTGGCAATACGTAACGGCAACGGTTGTAAGGAGATAGAATACTATGGCGGATCGGAGCAATCGTGTGCTATCCTCCTGGTTTTTGGAGCGTAAAGTGATAGGCGATCGTATAAGACTTTATATTGGCGTCACTGCAGTTGGACGAACACCGGGATCGGCTATATGTATTCTAGATTCTCATTATGTTTCACGAAAACACGCGGAAATTACTGTGGATATTGATGAGAAAATCGTACTAAAGGATTTGGTGAGTTGAGTTATTGTAATAAGAATCAAACAATGACAATGTAATTAATATATATTTGTTTAGGGCTCTATAAATGGAACCTTTGTGAATGGCAGTAAAGTACATAATAGTGAGATCCAGCTAAAAGCAAACGACTGTATTGGAATAGGCGTAACGGATGATACAGAACCGAGCCTCAAACATCCAATATATAAACTCATATATGCGCCAATGCCTAAAGTAACAACTCTTTTCAAAGAACCGATAGGAATTGAAGCAACTCAAGTCATAGTTGTAGATGGAGAATCTACAAACGAAAATTCAAATATCGTACAAGAAGTTAAAAAAGATGAACCTAAGTGCCCCAACGTGTCAACTACCGCAGCGGAAATGTCATCATCATTGTTACCTAGCGTTAAAACCGAGGATTCATTAACAAACATTAGAAAACCCAATGACAATTTAAAAATTTCGACGCCGTTGTCCAAAGTACCGATGCTTTATTACGGTGATGTAATTGTTTTGAGTGACGACGAGGAGGACAAAGTTCTTCCTAACAAGGAGGAGAAGAAAATAACTGAAGAGAGTGCAAGTAGCAAAGACAAAAGTAAAGAAACCGATGACGAAAATATTTTTAATAAACCAGATCCGGTGCTTTCGAAAACCAGCTCTTCAAATAAACCGACGGCTTCAGCTTCAGCTTCTGGAACAATGACAGATAAGAAAGATAACGCATCGTCCACTCAACTAACCAACGAAAAAGTTGTCATACATGAGCCAATAGCACCTGATATAAAACGAGAGTTTGTAAATTCCTGCTATGAAAATGTGGTGGATATATTTGGTGGCACTGATGAGGTCATACTGCAGAGTGTAAAAGCCATTAACCCATTGGTATATAAAAAGCTTAATGATGATAAAGCGCTGGATAAACCACTTTGCAATGGTGACACTATCGACTTACTAAGTGATAATGAGGATGACGAAGGCCATATTGCACAAAACGTAGAGTGCTTCGGTGAGCTAGTGCCGGCCGATGCAAAAGAAGCACATACAACAAAAAAAACAACGAATAGCAAAGAGAATGTTGAAAAAGGAAAGCAGGCTGATGATAGCACATGTACAACCGGTCAAAAGAGTCCAAATTTGTTTGACAATTCACTAAACAGCTCCAAAAATTCAGTGGATGAACAAAGGAGTGTAAATATCGATGAACAAAACGTGGAAAAAGAAAAGGAAGATTCTGTAAATACTGCTGAAGAATTGGCCGCTTTTGTTGATATGGATGATGATATGCTGTTCTCACAAATTCTAATAAACGACATCAAATCTGAAATGATGTGTGATCATAGTGAGGAAGATTTGGCTGTTGAAGACGAGCCAGCATATGATGTCCACAAAGATAATTGTCCAGATGATTTTGCAAATATACAGATAAAGAAAGAGCCTATTGATGACGATTCGCCCGATTCCAAAGTGATTTCAACCAAAGCTAAAGCCAAAAGTAACGAAATAGAAAATGACGTATGGATTACGATAGACGACGATGATGAGTATTACGATGAAGAGTTCGAACACAAAGTTTCCGATTGGAGTACGAAGTTGCTGTCACAAAAAATGAATATGTCACAGGTGGGCTTTCGGTATAGGCTGTAGTTTATCTTTGGGCAATTCAGAATGTACTAATGTATTTTCTCAGGTTTTTGATTTTCAACATGATAAGGGAGACGACTCCGATGATAATGTTAAAAAGGAAGAACATGAACTAATGTATGAAAGCGATGACCTTGACTTTTTCAATGAAGAACTTGTAGATGACGTAGTGGCTACGCTGGCTAAAAAAAATGGTGAAATTAAAAACGACGTCAATTCGTCAGAGCTTGCACGTAGCCTGATGCATTCCGATGTTACAAATTATGATGCCGGGAGCAGCAAGCAATTGTTACAACAACAAAAGAAACACATTGTAAAAGAACATCTGAAGAAAACGCAGTTGGAAAGAAAATCAAGTAGTGAATCAACTGAAGCGCCAACAGGTAAGATTATCAGCTATCTAACAAAGTTTATAACACCCAGAAGCAACCTTCGGAGACCATACAAAACTACATATCCATAAATGATCAGCGTGCAACGCAGAGCCTAACAAACTGACCCATCAAAATCAGGAAACAATTTTTACGTCCTCTTATGTGATATAAAATGTTCCTGGGAGGGGTATTATAGTTTTTGTTAGAACCGAAGTTAACATTTTTTTCTTGTTTTTTAATTATTAACATTTTAGATGCTGAGGCGGCTACTAGTAGTAAAAGTGCGCAGCGCAATGAACGAATTTCGAGCAGTGATGGCAAAGAGAAGGAAAGGCATGATAAAAGGGGCTTGGTTAAGCCAGTTAAACGCCTGCACCACCCGCCATCAGTAATCGATGCACCTTGTTTGCCCATACACAAGGGTAAGCATAGAGGCGTCTCCGCAGAAATACGACCCACAATGCCAAAGGAAATACACAAGAAAATGCGCGAGATCAAAGGTCAATACCGAGATGAGCGATATAGAGATGAATTAAAGCGAAAGTGGCTTGAGAAGCCAAGCGATGAGCGCCGTAGAGAGAGCGAGAAGAAGCGTAAGATAAAAGAATCACGCAAGGAAAAATTAAAAGAAATTGCCGACAAGCAATTAGCAGATTCGTCAAAGGAAGCCTTGCTGAAGCGAAAACATTCCACGACTGACCTCGAAGGTGTGGAGAAGAAGAAGGCCAAGGTGAAAATCACCGCAACCAATCGTGGTGCGCTGCTTGCAGAGGACATTAGTGCACCTAAGAAATTTACCAACACTTATAGAATACCAAAAACAAAACGACCATGCAGCGATGTAACAACAACAACTGCAACAGAGTCCACACCAGCTTCCACTGCTGTAACGGCGGCAATTCCCAAACCAAATCACACAACAATTGTAGACGCATTTGCGCAGGAAATGAAAAAAGTCGATCAAATCATTCGTCGTCGTTTATCGAGTAGCGGTAGTGTTAAGTCCGTGTCACGTTCATCTTCGCTGGATGAGAATAGGAATGCGACCACAACAGTCGAAACAGCGAAACCGCTTAATGCAGCAGTGCGTAGAAGTAATAAAATTACATTTGCTTCCATGCAAAAAAATTATACCGAATCTCGCATGAATCAACAACTATTGCAAAAAATCACAAATCATCGCTCGTGCCTCATAGATGTGGTGTATCGTAATGCCAATGCGGAGCGTCCAAAGAAGCATGTACGTTTCAATGAAACGCCAATTATCCACTATATCGAACGTGTGAGTGGCGCGAATAAGCGTGTGGATTGCAAAGATATACTGCCCAGTCCGACTTGTGCGGATCGTGCGCAAATGGTGCGTCAAACATATGCCATGATCGATAAAACCGCACAAATAATATCGCAAATATTGGGTTGGAGCAATGAGTGGCT